CTGACTCAATTCCACTACTACTCCAGAGAAAGGAAAGCATATATCCACACAAAGACGTATAGGAGAGTGTGCAGAGAGCTACACCTAAAAGCCAAAAACTAAAAAACTCAAATGTCCATCAGCTATGGTATGTTTATACAATGTACGAGATATATGAATGAATGACTCTCAAAAATATTGTTTCAAAAAGGAAGCAAGACAAAAAAATATTACTCCTATGTTCTGTAGGATTCCATTTATGTTACGTTCAAAATCAATCTATGGTGAGAGATGGCACTATAGTGGTTACTTCCGGTAGGGAGCAAAAAGTACTGACGAAAAAGGGTCACTAGGGAATTTTCTGGGTCTCTCAGAAATGCTATTTTCATCTGAGAGATGGCCACATAAGTGTATATGTAAAAAGTCGTTGACTTGTGCACTTTGCTATATGCAAATCTTACCTCAACAAAGTACTAAAAAGGAAAAAAAGAAAGCACTACCAATTACCAAGGGAAAAAGCCACAAGCAGTTAACATCTCCAGAACAGCAGCTCGGTGAACACCACCATGTGCTGAGGAACACAAAGCAACACACCATCTTTGCTCTCTTATTGATGTGATTAATAAGCAGGAGCCAGGAAAAACTAATCATGCCGGTCTGTTGAAAGTTCTTTGCTGGAATTGCATTGCCTAGATTCCCCTGATGCTCTGAGGTGCTCAGTGCTTTACAATCATCTCATTTAATTCTCTTCACCCATGAAGTAAGCAAGCCCAAACCCACTTTAAGATGGGGAAACTGAGGTTCAAGAGAGCACTTTCCTAAGGATGAGAAACCATACGTATCTACATATCTTTGTTTTCCTCCCTGCAGGACATCAGGGTGCTGTGCACCTCACAGACACTCGGTCGATGTCTGCAGAACGGACGAAGGAGAGATGCGCTAACCTCCGAATGAATGAAACTCAGAAAAAGTCCTGAGCCCCGCTCTCAACGCGACCTCGACGGGAAGGAGCGGTGCTTCTACTAAGTCTAACGTCCTCCACCTCCTCTTCTCTCTTCACAGTGCAAGGCGGGTGATCTTCTAACCAAAACCCACGTGCCCAAACTAAGGGGAAAAAAATACTCTTTTACCCTAGAGACCAGAAACTACCACAGCGCCCCGGACCGCACGCGCTCCGCCCCGCTCGGCGCCCTCCCTCCGCCCGCACGCGCACGCGCCCGCGCACG